AATGTCCATTGCTCGTGTTTCTTGGCCCAAGCAGGTTTCTTCTTATTATTGGTGTCCATTAGTAGTGGTTTCTTTGCAGCAATTTGACCATGAAGGCCTGATTCACACAGTCCCCTCTGAACAGTTGATGTTGAGATGTGTCTGTGACTTGAACTCTGTGAAGCATTTATTTGGGCTGCAATTTCTGAGGCTTGTAACTCTAATGAACTCTGCAGCAGAGGTAACTCTCGGTCCTCATGAGAGCCAGTTTCATCATAGCGCTTGTAGTTTTTGCGACTGCACTTGAAGAAACTTTCAAAGTTCTTGAAATGTTCCAGATTGACTGACCTTCATGTCTTAAAGTTATGATGGACAGTCGTTTCCATTTGCTTATTTGAGCTGTTCTTGTCATAATATGGACTTGGTCTTTTACCAAATAGGGCTATCTTCTGTATACCCCCCTACCTTGTCACAACACAACTGATTGGCTCAAACGCATTAAGAAGGAAAGTAATTCCACAAATTAACTTTTAAGAAGGCACACCTGTTTATTTGCAATGCATTCCAGGTGACTACCTCATGAAGCTGGTTGAGAGAATGCCAAGAGTGTGCAAAGGATGGCTATTTGAAGAAACTCAAATATAAAATATATTTAGATTTGTTTAACACTTTTTTGGTTACTACATGATTCCATATGTGTTATTACATAGTTTTGATGTCTTCACTATTATTCTACAATGAAAAAAATTGTAAAAACAAAGAAAAACCCTTTAATGAGTAGGTGTGTCCAAACCTTTGACTGATAGTGTGTGTGTGTGTGTGTGTGTGTTTGGGGTCACTTAGAAATGTCCTTGTTTTCGAATGAAAAGCAATTTTTTTAAATGTCCATTAAAATAACATCAAATTGATCAGAAACACAGTGTAGACATTGATAATGTTCTAAATGGCTATTGTAGCTGGAAACGGCTGATTTATATTGGAATATCTACATAGGCGTATGGAGGCCCATTATCAGCAACCATCAGTCCTGTGTTCCAATGGCACGTTGTGTTTGCTAATCCAAGTTTATCATTTTAAAAGGCTAATTGATCATTAGAAAACCCTTTGGCAATTATGTTAGCACAGCTGAAAACTGTTGTGCTGATTAAAGAAGCAATAAAACTGGCCTTCTTGAGACTAGTTGAGTATCTGGAGCATCAGCAATTGTGGGTTTGATTACAGGCTCGAAATGGCCAGAAACAAATAACTTTCTTCTGAAACTCGTCAGTCTATTCTTGTTCTGAGAAATGAATGCAATTCCATGCGAGAAATTGCCAAGAAACTGAAGATTTCGTACAACGCTGTGTACTACTCCCTTCACAGAACAGCGCAAACTGGCTCTAACCAGAATAGAAAGAGGAGTGGGATACCCCGGTGCACAACTGAGCAAGAGGACAAATACATTAGAGTGTCTAGTTTGAGAAACAGACGCCTCACAGGTCCTCAACTGACAGCTTCATTAAATAGTACCCACAAAACACCAGTCTCAACGTCAACAGTGAAGAGGCGACTCCGGGATGCTGACCTTCTCGGCAGAGTTGCAAAGAAAAAGCCATATCTCAGACTGGCCAATAAAAAGAGAAGATTAAGATGGGCAAAAGAACACAGACACTGGACAGAGGAAGATTGGAAAAAAGTGTTATGGACAGACAAATCGAACTTTGATGTGTTCGGATCGCAAAGAAGACAATTGTGAGACGCAGACCGAATGAAAATATGCTGGAGGAGTGCTTGATGCCATCTGTCAAGCATGGTGGAGGCAATGTGATTGTCTGGGGGTGCTTTGGTGGTGGTAAATTGGGAGATTTGTACAGGGCAAAAGGGATCTTGAAGAAGGAAGGCTATCACTCCATTTTGCAACGCCATGCCTTACCCTGTGAACGGCGCTTGATTGGAGCCAATTTCCTCCTACAACAGGACAATGACCCAAAGCACAGCTCCAAACTATGCAAGAACTATTTAAGGAAGAAGCAGTCAGCTGGTATTCTGTCTATAATGGAGTGGCCAGCACAGTCACCGGATCTCAACCCTATTGAAGTGCCCATCAAGCCAATCCAACTTGTGGGAGGTGCTTCAGGAAGCATGGGGTGAAATCTCTTCAGATTACCTCAACAAATTCACAACTAGAATGCCAAAGGTCTGCAAGGCTGTAATTGCTGCAAATGGAGGATTCTTTGACGAAAGCAAAGTTTGAAGGACACAATTATTATTTCCATTAAGAATCATTATTTCTAACCTCGTCAATGATACATTTCCTATGCATTTTGCTCTATTTCCTATTCAAACTCATTTCATGTATGTTTTCATGGAAAACAAGGAAAATTCTAAGTGACCCCAAACTTTTGAACGGTAGTATGTATATATATCAAATGCACTATATCTCAATTGCAAACTAAAAAATACATTTTTTTCTAAAAATGTATTTCCACAGGGCCTAGAACAGACTCTTGGGGCAACCCTGAAGTCATTGATCCATAAAGTTTGGTACCAACTTCATACAATTAATAAAAGCCTTGTCACCAAAAGGGAGGGTTCTTGCCTGAATACCATCCCCCTAGCTGCTGCCAAACTAGTGAATGGCTATCACCAACCTTTTACTAACTTGTATGCATTTGATGTACAGTCATAAATGCATTGTATGGTGCAGAAGTTGTGCAATCATATACATATGTGAAATGAGCACAAGACTTACCTTCAATAATAAATAAAAACCTACTGTATTTATAGAAGAAATAGGTCAGCATTTACATTAGTAATTGTGCACAGACCTGCTCTGTAGAGAGCCATGCATGGTTGATTAGTATCATGGCTAGTTGAACTAAAAAAACGATAAGAAAGCATATAGGTCTTAGACATGCTAAATTGCACACTGATTAGGGCTCAAGGAGCCAAGAGGTCAGTCAGTTTCAGGCATTTTATTCGAGCTCTTTAAAAAAGTACACAGTTGACCGATTAGTGAAGTGTTTCTGATTAATTGCACACCGAGCCAGTTGGTGGGGTCCTCCTACCTTTTGATAAACCTGAATGACATATTTCTATAAAAAAATACAAAAATGTAACAACAACCAGTCAAAAGTTGTAATAAGAAGTCTTTAGTTTAAAAAAATAAAACAATTAACTTGTTTTTTTGGAGCAGCATAATAAAAAAATCATTTTAGGTGTCAACATTTCTGTGAGACATCTCTTGTCTGAGCCTGGCTGCTAGCATCTGTTACTGGCATATTGCAGACAGCTTAGATAATGAACCATTGCAGCTTCCCTAGGATATAGTATTATTCTAGAGCTTAGGTGTTCAAATCTGGTCCAGGAAAATCCTGAACAGCAGCTATGAAAGGATAGAGTTGTGAAAAAGAGTTACATTAATGTATTAAAGAATACTTTAATGTTTTGTTACTTTTCTGACTTAACTGGGTCTTTGTTCTTTATTCATCTAATGCATAAAGGCCCCAAAAAGTAATGAAGCCATTCTGTACATGACAGACATCGTGACATCAAACTATAATTCTGGGTAAAATGTAGAACTACCTGGAGCTAAGATTGATTCTGAGAGAGGAGACTATTCGTCTTACTTTTCTAAATAATTTCAGTCTATGACCATATCGGTCTGGACAGAATTATGAATATTATCCACAAAAACAGAGATGCTGCCTCTATTCATTCTAATTCAGGCACACAAAGAAATGTAAAGCCACACTGCTAGATTTTGTCAGGGGGGAAGCAACATGAATATACTATGTGTAGGACTACAAAGAGAAGTGAGAGATATCATACATATTGACATTTCATGTTAAAGCAGGGCAGGTCTATTACTCAGAGTTACACTACATCCAAGTGTACACATGGTAGACCTTTGAGGGAATGATGTAGCTGCACTAAGACTAAGGTACTGTAAAGTACTGTACATGGGTTTCTGAGGTAAGAGAAAAACAACTTTCATTTCACTCAGCGAGTCATAAACTACAGTGAGCTCCAAAAGTATTGGGAGTGTGACATTTGTTGTTGTTTTGGCTATGTACTCCAGCACTTTGTGACTATGAGGTTCAAGCGCAGACTGTCAGCTTTAATTTCAGGGTATTTTCATCCATATCGGGTGAACGTTTAGAAATTATAGCACTTTTGTACAATGTCCCGTCCCATTTTAGGGGACCAAACGTATTTTCCCACCAGAGATGTGTTACCATCAGTGTGCGTAATGACGTAGTGCACATAAAAATACCTTTTGCAGTTAAATTCCCATGTACCGAATAAACAATTATTTGGCCCCCCAGGTTTTCTAAGAAAAAAATTCAAACTTTAAATTGTTTTATTATCATTGTTGAAATTAAATTACTAAAAAGCCCAGGAAATCTGCCCAAAGTGATTTTAATTTTGGAAAGCTGTTCCCAAGTATTCCCACCCATCATAGAGAGACACGTGATTGTATAAGCAAGGTTTGAAATGATAATGTTTTAGTCAAATATGATCTCTTTGGGCTTCTTGGTCAATTTGCAGTCTACAAATTACTTGTAATTATGTTCCGGGCCCGCCGACCATCCTCTAAATAAAAAAAATTGTCCCGCGGCTGAATAACTTACTTAATCTGTAGACCAATACCTTGCATGCTTTCCCGATGTGGGAAGACCACATACAACATGTCATCGTGACTCCAAGTTTATGTCAATATGATGGTTATTATATCAATATTTGCGCATAAAAGCGTTTCCACTGGCCTGTCTTGAATTTTTTTTATCCGATACGTACTTTCCTCGCATAAAAAGTTTAGATGGAAACCTGGTTACTTTCCCAATACCTTTGGAGCTCACTTTATATGAATGGGGAATATGGACTAAAATCCATATCACAAATTTTCACATTTTATTGAGTCTAATCTTTACGATGTGAAGGATGATATTATATTCACCTAAATTAAACAAAGACTTGAGTATGAAATAGTGGGTAGTTTTCATTGTTTCGGGGATACCGTTGGCGGCTTTGGCTTACCTGCGTGTGAGCTTGGAGGTGAGCTTGGTGAAGAGGTTGGTGGAGCCACGGCTGCGGGACTGCGAGAGGAGCGTGGCGTCATGCGAGAGCGTGGGCGAGGCAGGCGGGCCATTGTAGGTGGCCGTGCGGCGCTCCCGCAGCTGGCCGCCGTGGAAGGTGCTGCGGCTGGCCGTGCCGCGGGGGAAATGCAGCCGGTCGGGGGGCGTGGTACCGCTGCTGATGCTGTGGGTGGAGGCGCCGCCGGGGTTCCGTTGGCTGGACGTCGTGCTGGGGAGGAAACGGGTGGAGGAAGGAGAGGAGTTAAGGGTCAAGACCACACAATCAAGCCTGGGTCACGGTCTGTTTTCTACGTTAGCCAAGAACTTGGCTAAAGCAGACCGGTTTCCAGGTTATTCATGTTCATAAGAGGGGGTACCATTACCCTGCAGCAGATGTCAACTCGGATGGTTTTGGTTAGTTATGACTTTATCAACCACATAATGTGAAACACTTGTTTTTATCGTTTAGTTGACTAAAGAGTTAAAGGGAACCTAAACAGAACCTTTAGGACATTTGAGCCAATGACAAAGAGGTTGCTTATCTTTGCTACATTAAGGATGGTTTGTTTATCAGGTGAGATTTGGCTAGCACTACTTCGGACCAAAGACACTGGGGTAAGTTAGTGGAAAGAGAGACCAGAGCAGGAGGCAATCCTTCTTCACGTTAAGACACAAATGGACCTTTAAAAGAGGTCCTCAGCCATTGGAGGAGGTGCTTTGGGGGTGGAGCTAACGGAATGAGAAGTGGGAAAATGCGTGGGATGAGTGTTGGGGAGGGAAAGGGTACGATTGGTCAGAAGCTCATTCGGTGGGAGGTCAGAGGGCGTTAGAGAGAGATAAAGTGCGGACAGAGAGGGGGATGGAAAACGAGGTTAGAGAAAAAAGCAGACAGATCAAACGGGGCCCCCTGGTCAAACCCCTGGGAGTTGGGGTGGGAAGCCTCTTACTTAGGCCTGAAGAAGTCGCCGTCGGTAGGCGGCAGCGTTTGGCGGCATGTGTGGCCCGAAGCCGAGAGGGACGCGGCCTTCTGGTGGCGCAGGTGGACTGAGGCCGAGGAGGCGGTGAGGGCCTTGGCGTATGCAGCGGGGCTAGTGGTACAGGCCGCCGACATTTCACTCATGCTGCCCCCAAGAGGACAGGAGGCAAAGTGCGGCGAAAAAGGCCACAGGGCCAGAGAAGAAAACGTGGGTTTTAATAAAGCCTTGAGGGCATACAAAAAGAGTCAAACTTCATAAGAGAGAGGTAGAGGACAGAAAGGCTCTCTTGAATGAATGTACTGTGGCAGCAGTATGGTATAGGTAGTTAGACAAGCAGATGTTTAAGGGAGCTTATTTGGCAGTGGTGACTGCGTCTGTATTGGGTTACACTGGTAAAAGGGTGTGGATTGTTGAATGGATAGGAGTGTGCCTCAATCTGCTGTGTTGCCCTCAGTCCTCGATACATATCAGTTTTTATTTATAATTGAGGGGAATTGGATCAATGTATAGCAATGTTGCATTGCACTAATTTCCTTTGTGAATGTCGTGAATGACTCATTCGCGACATGAATGACATTCAAAAAGTCATCTTGTTGATAAATCTGACAACTCAACATTAATTGCCATGGTAACACAAGTAATCTCGGAAAACCAAATGAGCGTTTCTTAGTGGACAAGCCCAGGTAAGTCCATTCCCGTTCCATTTTCTTCCATTTGGTGCCTACGAACACGAGAGAGATGAAAGGCTGTGACCATTGCTGACAGACTAACCGGTCAAATAACGGTCAAAAACCAATAAAGGACAAGCTTACGTCTCAGTTTTAAAAACATACCTTCCAAGTCCTCAAGATTCTCTTGGCATAGTCTATTTTAATCTTGACCAGGCTCGTAGAATTGTAATCAGAACACTTCCCCAAGTAGGCCATCTATTGTGTTTTCTAACAACACAGAGTTATGTTGTGACTTTCAAAAGTGTTTTTTTTATCCAACACCACATACAGACTACTTAAAAAGAAAAATGGATAAGAGAGTCCTTTTAAATGAGCAAATGTCTTGGGTAAATATACACTTTGGTTTTTATTAAGCTTAACATTTACAGGCCCCAATGTATCCCTCTGATGTTCCAAACCAATGGGTTTTTGGCAATGGCTATTTCACATGGCTGTGTGTCCCTAATGTTACAGAGAAAACACTGTGTGTGCGTGCGTGTGTGTGATAATGATGAATAGGGCTTCCGGCACTGAAGGCCTCTATTGAAACAACAATCTCCCTTCAGACGCAGTGTTTAACTAGAACACCATATTCAAGGCCAGCATGAATTTTGCATAGGGTGGTGTACGGAGCTGCCGCGGGCTATAGTGTTTCTTCCAATAGTGTGGAGAGAGATTGGGTGTGTATTTGTGTGTGTTTGTGAGAGGGAGTGTGTGCGTGTGAGACAAAGACAACAAATGTGTGTGTGTTTGTGAGAGAAAGAGTGTGCGCCTGAGACAAAAACAATAAATGTGTGCGCGAGAGTGCATTCGTGGGAATGTGAGCGAGTGCGTGTGTTCGTGGGAGTGTGTGAGTGAGTGTGTGCGTGGGTTTGTGGGAGTGCGTGTGTGAGTGAGTGTGTGCGTGTGTGCGTTCTTCGGAGTGTGTGTGAGAGAGTGCGTGCGTGGGAGTGTATGTGTGTGAGAGTGCATGCGTGCGTTCGTGGGAGTGTGTGTGTGTGAGCGAGTGCTTGCGTTCGTGAGTGTGTGCGTTCGTGAGAGTGTATGTGAGAGTATGTGCGTGCGTGAGAGCGCGTGCGTGCATGAGAGCGCGTGCGTGCGTAGCCAAGCGGTTAAGAGCATTGGGCCAGTAACCGAGTGGTCGATGGTTCGAATCCCCGAGCCAACTTGGTGAAAAATCTCTCAATGTGTCTTTAATCCTAATTGCTCCTGTAAGTTCCTCTGGATAAGAGCATCTGCTAAATGACTAAAATGATGTTGTTTTTTAATTGTGTGTATGCCTGCGTCTGGGTCTGTGTGCCTGTATTTAGGGGGCCAAGAAGGACAACATGACAGACAGAGCTTTGGCTTCTCACACCTCTCACCTGTTCTCTTTTCCATTCTGGATGACGGCGGAGTGGCGGTCCGAGGCGTTCCTGTCACTACACACATACGTGTTCCTCCTCGTCATGCCCCCTGATGTTGAGTTAGTCTGGAAGGAGAGAGAGAGAGGGTGATGAAAGGAGAGAAATAGGATAAGGGTGACGTAAGGAGGGGGGGGGGGAGTGAAAGAAAGAGAGGAATTGTTGTTGTTGTTGTTTTTGAAGAACATGACCCAGTTACACTGTTGTGCTTTGACAATGTCAGTTCTTTCACTTTTCGTGCCAATGAAGTTTATTCAATTTAATTGATAGAGAGAGAGGGTGAGACAGATGGTGCAGACAGTGAGAGAAATAGATACAGAAATAAATAAAAAGAATGAAAGAACAAACAGAAGAAAGAAAGTCACGCAGTGTGAATGTGGTTGGTGTGCGAACCTGTGTGTATATACACTATAAAGTGCATTCGGAAAGTATTCAGACCCCTTGACTTTTTCCACATTTTGTTTACGTTACAGCTTTATTCTAAAATGGATTCAATATTTTTTTTCTCATCAATCTACACACAATACCCCATAATGACAAAGCAAAAACTGTTTTTTTAGAAATGTTTGCACTGAAATATCACATTTACGTAAGTATTCAGACCCTTTACTCAGTAGTTTGTTGAAGCACCTTTGGCAGCAATTACAGCCTTGAGTGTTCTTGGGTATGACTCTACAAGCTTGGCACACCTGTATTTGGGGAGTTTCTCCCATTCTTCTCTGCAGATCCTCTCAAGCTCTGTCAGGTTGGATGGGGCTCTCCAGCTGTGACGCTGCACAGCTATTTTCAGGGCTCTCCAGAGATGTTTGATCGGGTTCAATCCGGGCTCTGGCTGGGCCACTCAAGGACATTCAGAGACTTGTCCCGAAGCCACTCCTGTATTGTCTTGGCTGTGTGCTTAGGGTCGTTGACTGTTGGAAGGTGAACCGTCGCCCCAGTCTGAGGTCCCGAGCGCTCTGGAGCAGGTTTTCATCAATGATCTCTCTATACGTTGCTCCGTTCATCTTTCCCTCGATCCTGACTAGTCTCCCAGTCCCTGCCGCTGAAAAACATCCTCATAGCATGATGCTGCCACCACCATGCTTCACCGTAGGGATGGTGCCAGGTTTCCTCCAAACGTGACGTTTGGAATTCAGGCCAAAGAGTTCAATATTGGTTTCATCAGAACAGATAATCTTGTTTCACATGGTCTGAGAGTCCTTTAGGTGCCTTTTGGCAAACTCCAAGTGGGCTGTCATGTACCTTTTACTCTGGCCACTCTACCATAAAGGCCTGATTGGTGGAGTGCTGCAGAGATGGTTGTCTTTCTGGAAGGTTCTCCCATCTCCACAGAGGAACTCTGGATTTCTGTCAGAGTTACCATCGGGTTCTTGGTCACCTCCCTGACCAAGGCCCTTCTCCCCAGTTGCTCAGTTTGGCCGGGCGGCCAGCTCTAGGAAGAGTCTTGGTGTTTCCAAACTTCTTACATTTAAGAATGTGTTCTTGGGGACCCTTCAATGCTGCAGACATTTTTTGGTACCCTTCCCCAGATCTGTGCCTCGAAACAATCTTGTCTCTGAGCTCTACAGACAATTCCTTCGACCTCATGGTTTGATTTTTGCTCTGATATGCACCGTCAACTGTGGGACCTTATGTAGAGGTGTGTTCCTTTCTAAATCGTCCAATCAATTGAACTTATCACAGATGGACTCCAATCAAGAAGAAACATCTCAAGGATGATCAATGGAAACAGGATGCACCTGAGCTCAATTTCGAATCTCATAGCAAAGGGTCTGAATACTTATGTTTTCGCTTTGTCATTATGGGGTATTGTGTGTAGATTGATGCATTTCTTTTTTTTAAAATCCATTTTAGAATAAGGCTGTAACGTAACAAAATGTGGAAAAAGTCAAGGGGTTTGAATACTTTCCGAATGCACTGTACATACTAAAGTATGTGCACACCCCTTCAAATTAGTGGATTTGGCTATTTCAGCCACACCCATTGCTGGTGTATGAATACTTTCCGAATGCACTGTGTTATGAAAGGAACTAGACACGGACACGAATTATCTGTTTAGTGTGTTAACACACTATTGGTAGTTTGTTGTAACCAAGTATTGGTGCTAAACTGTGTGTTATTGGATGCTAGCATGCTAGTTAGCTATGGCGTCATAGTTAGCTAGCTGAATAAAGTAAGTTGAGTCTATTCCTTGAAACATTGAACCGCTGTAGTTTACAACAATTCTAATTTCTAAAGTGGAAGTTGGGAGAGTTTTATTCGGGTGGTTCAGTGAAACAATTATAGTTTCTGAGGTGGAAGTTGGGAGAGTTATATTTGGGAGTTTTTTGGTGAGGGAGGCCCTGCTCTCTCCTTTCCCAGATGTTTAGTTCATTTCATTCCGATCTCCTCTGCATTATTGTAGCCATCTGCTACAGCCTGTCAACTATGCCTCTGCCTATCCCTGTTCTCTCCTCTCTGCACAGGCTACACAAACGCCTCACACTGCGTGGCTGATGCCTATCTAACCTGGTGGTCCCTGCACGCACCACACACCTGGAGTTCCAGGTCTCAGGCAGCCTCTGGAACTGCTGTTCTGCTGCCAACAAGGCTGACTTCATCCCAGCCTATGCTACCCTCCAGTCCCTCGACTTCCTGGCGCTGACGGAAACATGGATTACCACTGAAAACACTGCTACTCCTACTGCTCTCTCCTCGTCTGACCATGTGTTCTCGCATACCCCGAGAGCATCTGGTCAGAGGGGTGGTGGCACAGGAATCCTCATCTCTCCCAAGTGGTCATTCTCAATTTTTCCCCTAACCCATCTGTCTATTTCCTCATTTGAATTCCATGCTGTCACAGTCACTAGCCCATTTAAGCTTAATATCCTTGTCATCTATCGCCCTCCAGGTTCCCTTGGAGAGTTCATCAATGAGCTTGATGCCTTGATAAGTTCCTTTCCTGAGGATGGCTCACCCCTCACAGTTTTGGGGGATTTCAACCTCCCTACGTCTACATTTGACTCATTTCTCTCTGCCTCCTTCTTTCCACTCCTCTCCTCTTTTGACCTCACCCTCTCACCGTCCCCCCCTACTCACAAGGCACGCAATACGCTTGACCTCATCTTTACTAGATGCTGCTCTTCTACTAATCTCACTGCAACTCCCCTCCATGTCTCCGACCACTACTTTGTATCCTTTTCTCTCTCGCTCTCCTCCAACACTACTCACTCTGCCCCTACACAGATGGTAATGCGCCGCCGCAACCATCGCTCTCTCTCCCACTACTCTCTCCTCTTCCATCCTATCATCTCTTCCCTCTGCTCAATCCTTCTCCCTCCAATCTCCTGATTCTGCCTCCTCAACCCTCCTCTCCTCCCTTTCTGCATCCTTTGACTCCCTGTGTCCCCTATCCTCCCGGCCGGCTCGGTCCTCCCCTCCAGCTCCGTGGCTTGATGACTCATTGCGAGCTCACAGAACAGAGCTCCGGGCAGCTGATCGGAAATGGAAGAAAACTAAACTCCCTGCCGACCTGGCATCTTTTCACTCCCTCCTCTCTACATTTTCTTCATCTGTTTCTGCTGCTAAGGCCACTTTCTACCACTCTAAATTCCTAGCATCTGCCTCTAACCCTAGGAAGCTCTTTGCCACATTCTCCTCACTGCTGAATCCCCCCCCCCTTGTCCTTCTAGACCTGTCTGCTGCCTTTGATACTGTGAACCATCAGATCCTCCTCTCCACCCTCTCCGAGCTGGCATCTCCGGCACGGCTCACTCCTGGATTGCGTCCTACCTGACCGGTCGCTCCTACTGGCGAGAAGCTGTCTCCGCACCACGTGCTCTCACCACTGGTGTCCCCCAGGGCTCAGTTCTAGGCCATCTCCTATTCTCCCTATACACCAAGTCACTTGGCTCTGTCATATCCTCACATGGCCTCTCCTATCATTGCTACGCTGACGATACACAACTAATCTTCTCCTTTCCCCCTTCTGATAACCAGGTGGCGAATCGCATCTCTGCATGTCTGGCAGACATATCAGTATGGATGACGGATCACCACCTCAAGCTGAACCCTGGCAAGACGGAGCTGCTCTTCCTCCCGGGGAAGGACTGCCCGTTCCATGATCTCGCCATCACGGTTGACAACTCCGTTGTGTCCTCCTCCCAGAGTGCGAAGAGCCTTGGCGTGACCCTGGACAACACCCTGTCGTTCTCCGCTAACATCAAGGCGGTGACCCGATCCTGCAGGTTCATGCTCTACAACATTCGGAGAGTACGACCCTGCCTTACACAGGAAGCGGTACAGGTCCTAATCCAGGCTCTTGTCATCTCCCGTCTGGATTACTGCAACTCGCTGTTGGCTGGGCTCCCTGCCTGTGCCATTAAACCCCTACAACTCATCCAGAATGCCGCAGCCCGTCTGGTGTTCAACCTTTCCAAGTTCTCTCACGTCACCCCGCTCCTCCGCACACTCCACTGGCTTCCAGTTGAAGCTCGCATCTGTTACAAGACCATGGTGCTTGCCTATGGAGCTGTGAGGGGAACGGCACCTCCGTACCTTCAGGCTCTGATCAGTCCCTACACCCAAAAACGAGGGCATTGCGTTCATCCACCTCTGGCCTGCTGGCTCCCCCTCCTCTGCGGAAGCATAGTTCCCGCTCAGCCCAGTCAAAACTGTTCGCTGCTCTGGCACCCCAATGGTGGAACAAGCTCCCTCACGACGCCAGGACAGCGGAGTCACTCACCACCTTCCGGAGACATTTGAAACCCCACCTCTTTAAGGAATACCTGGGAGTGAGTAATACCTAGGATAAAGTAATCCTTCCACCCCTCCCCCAAAAAATATATATATTTTTTAAATGTAAATGTGTATAAATAGAGCACACAGCCATGCAATCTCCATAGACAAACATTGTTAGTAGATTGGCCTTACTGAAGACCTCAGTGACTTTCAACATGGCACCGTCATTGGATGCTACCTTTACAACAAGTCAGTTTGTAAAATTTCTGCCCTGCTAGAGCTGCCTCGGTCAACTGTAAGTGCTGTTATTGTGAAGTGGAAAAGTCTAGGAGCAACAACCACTCAGCCACGAAGTGGTAGGCCACACAAGCTCAAAGAACGGGACCGCCGAGTGCTGAAGCACGTAGCGCGTCATAATCGTCTGTCCTCAGTTGCAACACTCACTACTGAGTTCCAAACTGCCTCTGTTTGTCGGGAGCTTCATGAATTGGGTTTCTATGGCTGAGTAGTCGCACACAAGCCTAAGATCACCATGCGCGGCCTCCTGAGTGGCGCAGCGGTCTAAGGCACTGCATCGCAGTGCTTGAGGCGTCACTACAGACCCGTGTTCAATCCCAGGCTGTGTCCCATAGGACGGCACACAATTGGCCCACCGTCGTCCGGGTTAGGGGAGGGTTTGGCCGGGGGGGCTTTACTTGGATATCACACTCTAGCGACTCCTTGTGGCGGGCCTGGCGCCTGCAGGCTGACTTCGGTCGTCAGTTGAATGGTGTTTCCTCCAAAACATTGGTGCAGCTGGCTTCCAGGTTAAGTGGGCAGGTGTTAAGAAGAGGGGTTTGGCGGGTCATGTTTCGGAGGACGCATGACTCGACCTTCGCCTCTCCCGAGCCCGTTGGGGAGTTGCAGCGATGAGACAAGATCGAAATTGGGGAGAAAAAGGGAGAAAAAATATATAAGATCCCCATGCGCAATGCTAAGCGTCGGCTGGAGTGGTGTAAAGCACGCCACCATTTGACTCTGGAGCAGTGGAAATGCATAGTGCCAACTGTAAAGTTTGGTGGCGGAGGAATAACGGTCTGGGGCTGTTTTTCATGGTTCGGACTAGGCCCCTTAGTTCCAGTGAAGGGAACTCTTAACGCTACAGCATACAATGACATTCTAGATTCTGTGGCAACAGTTTGGGGAAGGCCCTTTCCTGTTTCAGCATGACAATGCCCCTGTGCACAAAGAGAGGTCCAAACAGAAATGGTTTGTCAACCCCATCGAACACCTTTGGGATGAATTGGATAGCCGACTGCGAGCCAGGCCTAATCGCCCATCAGCGCCCGACCTCACTAATGCTCGTGGCTGAATGGAAGCAAGTCCCCACAGCAATGTTCCAACATCTAGTGGAAAGCCTTCCCAAAAGAGTGGAGGCTTTTATAGCAGCAAAGCGGGGACCAACTCCATATTAATGCCCATGATTTTGGAATGAGACGTTCATTCGAGCAGGTGTCTTTTGGTCATGTAGTGTATATTCCATGTGTATATTCTATGTGATCTCTCTGTACTCACGGTGGGTGTGGTTGAGCCTTTCTTGCGGTCGGGGATGTTGGCCTTGTTGGGGTTGTTGGCGTTACCCAGTAGGGGACTGGCAGGGGCAACACCGCCAACGCGCCCGCCCGACGAACCAGACTTCCGGGGCTGGGCACCCCCTTCCTCTTTGTGGTCGCCGTTGTCGGCCGATGTGGTCTGGCTCCTCTTGGGGTAGCCCACTGAGGGGATGGACGGACCAGCTGGATGGATGGAGGGAGAGAGAGAGAGACACAGGGATCAGTGAGGAGTTAGAATGGGAACTGTGCTGCATTGGAGGTTCACATCCTTCTTCCTATATTATCCCATATCCCCTCTTCCTCGTCCCCCCTCACACTTCTCCCGTGTCCCTCATCTCCCCTTTCATGTCTTTTTCCTCCCTCTCCCTCTTTCCTCCCAACCCACTTACATCATCTTCCTCCCTGCCTCCACTCCTCCCTCCATGCCCCCTCTCCTCCCTCTCTCTCTCACCCTGGTCGCTATAACGTCTCTGTTTCTGGGTGCTGGAGATGGACCGCTGGGCCTTGAGGTGGGCTGGAGACTGGCCGTTGTTGTTGTGCTCGCTGGCGGGTCGCGCCTTGGGAAGAGACAGGTTACTGCTACAGCTGGAGTCACTGGCCTCCAACTGGGAGAGAAGATGAGAGAAGAAAGGTTTCCAATTAAATCACGCTGCAGATGAGTTTTACTGTATTTTTTTTGCACAGATCTGTGCTCTTTTGTGTGACGAAAAGTCACTCAATATGTTTAACATAGCATTTGAATGGGGACATTTTGACAGCGCAAATAATGTGACGGTATCGTCCAGACAGACTGTATCACTTCAGACATTCTGCATGTCATTTGGTTTAAAACCTGTATAATTTCAACCACTTACATACCCCTAAACCTTGATTAAAACAAATAATTTGTGCTAAAAACAAGGAACCAATACATGATAGAGCCAGTGCTTTCTAACATGGTCATTTATGGCCAGGTACTGGGTCAATCCCAAATTGTTCCCTTAACCCTACACACTTGTGGAGATCTGAGAGGATTTGATTGGTATAAGCAATATGGTGAAACTTCCACCGAGCATATCAGAGGGTAAGGTGGAGCTATTACCAGATTGATTACACCTGTCAAATACTCTCAGCATCCACTCAGTGCATAGGACGCAGGTCTTGGGGAACGATTTGGGATGAGGCCGCTTTCGCCCAGTCTGTCCTTACCTCTGTGGACTTCCTGCCCAGTAGCAGGTAGGTGGCGGTGATCTCATCATACTTCATCCTGGTTAAAGACTCACTGACCTCCTCCCGAGTGTAGCCCATCTCCACCATGATGTCTGCAGGGGATCAGGAGTGGGACAGGACAGGTATTAGCATTAAATACCCAATAGGCTGTGGCCTGGGGTGGTCTAACGGTTAGGGCTGCTGCCTACAGAGCACACATGTACCGTGTCGCTGTGGGTTTGAATCCGGCCCACACCCTTCTGACACAAACCCTCTCAATGTTCCAGTCTCTCCCTCTCACGGTCTCTATCCAATAAAGAAACAAATATGTGAAGAAGAAAAAAAGCAAACAACCAATAGGCTGGGACTTTGTGAACATCTATCCCCATTTCCTATTTGGTGAGGGGGAACCCAGAATACTAGGCATTGAACTTAATTGAATTGAATAAACGTTATTAATCCCACAAGGGGAAATTGGATGTACAGCAACATACTAATGCATACATTAGCGACATATTGACTGATGGCTGGTGTAAGAAACAAAACCCAACCCAAAAACGAAGACAGTAAATAAAAGGTGAATAAACTGCACATAATGTGGGGGAGTAAACCAAACAGGGCCTTCTTGTTGAGGTTTTGGAATATCCTTTCAGACACACACTCGTCTCTCTCCCTGTCTCTCTCCTACTCAATCTCTCTATCCTCAGTTACACACTGCTGAGTGAGATCAATGCTGCCATCGACAGCCCTGGGGGTCAGAGTGGAAAGAAAAAGGCCTGCCAGACTCAGTATCGACTTGTGGATCTGTTTGTGTGCACGCACACATGTATTTCAATAATGACAGTGTGTTACTGAGTGTGGTTGTGTTAATGCATGGTCGTGCATGATTTTTAATGACTGTGTGCGTTTTAATGACTGTGTGTGTGTTAATGTGTGTGTGTCTAAGTGAAGTGCTAGGCCATGTGCTGCCCGCATGTGTCTGAGAAAAACACAGCTCTGTCAGGCTCACTTTTAGCACAGCATGCAAGGCTAGCCCCGAACACAGGGGGTAAGGGGTGATTCCCTCTAAATACATGTGCCAACCCATCTACTCCCCCCCCCTGCAACCGCCAAATAAGAGTTCCAGCATTTTTTAAAATGTCTTAACATTCACCAACCCTCCTCCTGGAGAGCTAGTTGGGGTGCAGGCTTTTGCTCTAGCCCTGAATCAGGTGTGTTAGAGCTTGGCAGGAACAAAAGCCTATATACTCAGTAACTCTCCATGTAGAGGTATGACCATCCCTGGTTTAATATAGTCATTGGCAGTGTCCCAAATGGCACCCTATTCCCTACATAGTGCACTACTTTTGACCAGAGCCCTATCAAATAGTACACTATATAGGGAATAGGGTGCCATTTAGGACGATACAGTGTATAGATTTATAGATGTAAAGCCGGTCCCCAATTCCCTCCCTAACCCTTCCTTAATGTTTGCAGATCTAAGGTGTAAGCTCCAACACTACACTCTTTATACCTATACAGACCGTTCAGATCTGCAAACATTGAAAGGTAAGGAAGCGAATTGGGAGCCGCTGATATACACTGCTCAAAAAAATTAAGGGAACACTAAAATAACACATCCTAGATCTGAATGAATGAAATTTTTTTTTTTTACATAGTTGAATGTGCTAACAACAAAATCACACAAAAATGATCAATGGAAATCAAATGTATCAACCCATGGAGGTCTGGATTTGGAGTCACCCTCAAAATTAAAGTGGAAAACCACACTACAGGCTGATCCAACTTTGATGTAATGTCCTTAAAACAAGTCAAAATGAGGCTCAGTAGTGTGTGTGGCCTCCACGTGCCTGTGTGACCTCCCTACAACACCTGGGCATGCTCCTGATGAGGTGGCGGACGGTCTCCTGAGTGATCTCCTCCCAGACCTGGACTAAAGCATCCGCCAACTCCTGGACAGCGTTGGTGGATGGAGCGAGACATGATGTCCCAGATGTGCTCAATTGGATTCAGGTCTGGGGAACGGGCGGGCCAGTCCATAGCATCAATGCCTTCCTCTTGCAGGAACTGTTGACACACTCCAGCCACATGAGGTCTAGCATTGTCTTCCATTAGGAGGAACCCAGGGCCAACCGCACCAGCATATGGTCTCACAAGGGGTCTGAGGATCTCATCTCGGTACCTAATGGCAGTCAGGCTACCTCTGGCGAGCACATGGAGGGCTGTGCGGCCCCCCCAAAAAATGCCACCCCACACCATGACTGACCCACCGCCAAACCGGTCATGCTGGAGGATGTTGCAGGCAGCAGAACGTTCTCCATGGCGTCTCCAGACTCTGTCACGTGCTCAGTGTGAACCTGCTTTCATCTGTGAAGAGCACAGGGCGCCAGTGCCGAATTTGCCAATCTTGGTGTTCTCTGGCAAATGCCAAACGTCCTGCACGGTGTTGGGCTGTAGCACAACCCCCACCTGTGGACGTCGGGCCCTCATACCACCCTCATGAAGTCTGTTTCTGACCGTTTGAGCAGACACATGCACATTTGTGGCCTGCTGGAGGTCATTTTGCAGGGCTCTGGCAGTGCTCCTCCTGCTCCTCCTTGCACAAAGGCGGAGGTAGCAGTCCTGCTGCTGGGTTGTTGCCCTCCTACGGCCTCCTCCACGTCTCCTGATGTACTGGCCTGTCTCCTGGTAGCGCCTCCATGCTCTGGACACTACGCTGACAGACACAGCAAACCTTCTTGCCACAGCTCGCATTGATGTGCCATCCTGGATGAGCTGCACTACCTGAGCCACTTGTGTGGGTTGTAGACTCCGTCTCATGCTACCACTAGAGTGAAAGCACCGCCAGCATTCAAAAGCGACCAAAACATCAGCCAGGAAGCATAGGAACTGAGAAGTGGTCTGTGGTCACCACCTGCAAAACCAGTCCTTTATTGGGGGTGTCTTGCTAATTGCCTATAATTTCCACCTGTTGTCTATTCCATTTGCACAACAGCATGTGAAATTTATTGTCAATCAGTGTTGCTTCCTAAGTGGACAGTTTGATTTCACAGAAGTGTGATTGACTTGGAGTTACATTGTGTTGTTTAAGTGTTCCCTTAATTTTTTTGAGCAGTGTATATAGAGGAGTGTTTGACTCAATGTACCTATTCTCTTCTGGTCCGTGATGTCCTGTTCTGGCTCCATGAATGGCTTCAGTTCATCCTCCTCGAGGCCCGCATTTATCCACCGGTCCTTCATGATTTGCTATGAGGGCGAAGGACAGACACATACATTAGTCTTCGCTCTGCAGGCCCAATTACCCACCAAACGAAGGGGAATTTGATAACAGTGATGCCCAATCCTAAATCAACCCCTCACCCCTACACCGTGTGCCTATGCACTTAGATCTGTAAAGGATTGGATAGGTACTATAAGCAATATGTCAATATTTCCACCTAGGCTATCAAAAGGCAAAATTAGGAGCCATTATAATATTGCGTATCTAATGCTTTCAGTACTAAACAAGTGCGGTAAGGGCGAGAGCCCGAGGGAAAGGGGCAAGGGGTCGATTTGGGATTGGGTAGAATAGTGGCATATACAGTGCATTTGCAAAGTATTCAGACCCCTTGACTTTTTCCACATTTTATTACGTTACAGCATTATTCTAAAATTGATTAAATAGTTTTTTCCCCCTCATCAATCTACACACAATACCCCATAATGAAAAAGCAAAAACTGATTTTAGACATTTTAGCAATAATACAATTAAAATAAAAGCGTTAATTTCACATTTACTTAAGTATTCAGACCCTTTACTCAGTACTTTGTTGAAGCACCTTTGGCAGTGATTACAACCGCAAGTCTTCTTGGGTATGACGCTACAAGCTTGGCACACATGTATTTGGGGAGTTTCTCCCATTCTTCTCTGCAGATCCTCTCAAGCTCTGTCAGGTTGGATGGGGAGCGTCGCTGCATAGCTATTTTCAGGTCTCTCCAGAGATGTTCGACCGGGTTCAAGTCCGGGCTCTGCCTGGGCCACTCAAGGACATTCAGAGACTTGTCCCGAAGCCACTCAAGAGTTGTCTTGGCTGTGTGCTTAGGGTCGTTGTCCTGTTGGAAGGTGAACCTTTGCCCCAGTCTGAGGTCCTGAGCGCTCTGGAGCAGGTTTTCATCAAGGATCTCTCTGTACTTTGCTCCGTTCATCTTTCCCTCGATTCTGACTAGTCTCCCAGTCCCTGCTGCTGAAAAACAGCATGATGCTGCCCCCACCATGCTTCACCGTAATGATGGTGCCAGGTTTCCTCCAGACGTGACACTTGGCATTCAGGCCAAATAGTTCAATCTTGGTTTCATCAGACCAGAGAATCTTGTTTCTCATGGTCAGAGTCCTTTAGGTGCCGTTTGGCAAACTCCAAGCGGGCTGTCATGTGCCTTTTACCGATGAGTGGCTTCCGTCTGGCACTCTACCATACAGGCCTGATTGGTGAAGTCCTGCAGAGATGGTTGTCCTTCTGGAAGGTTCTCCCATCTCCACAGAGGAACTCTGGAGCTCTGTCAGAGTGACCATCGGGTTCTTGGTCACCTCCCTGACCAAGGCCCTTCTCCCCCGATTGCTCAGTTTGGCCAGACGGCCAGCTCTAGGAAGAGTCTTGATGTTTCCAAACTTCTTCCATTTAAGAATGATGGAGGCCAATGTGTTCTTGGGGACATTCAATGCTGCAGAAATGTTTTGGTACCCTTCCCCAGATCTGTACCTCGACACAATCCTGTCTCGGAGCTCTACGGACAATTCCTTCGACCTAATGTCTTGGTTTTTGCTCTGGCATGCGCTGTCAACTGTGGGACCTTATATAAACAGTTGTGTGCCTTCCCAAATCATGTCCAATCAATTTAATTTACCACAGGTGGACTCCAATCAAGTTGTAGAAACATCTCAAGGATGATCAATGGAAACAGGATGCAGAGTTCAATTTCGAGTCTCATTGCAAAGGGTCTGAATACTTATGTAAAGAAGGTATTTCAGTTTCTGTTTCTGTTGTTTTGCTAAAATTTCTAAAAACCTGTTTTTGCTTCGTCATTATGGGGTATTGTGTGTAGACTGATGAGGGAAAAACATTTATTTAACCAATTTTAGAACAAGGCTGTAACGTAACAAAATGTGGAAAAAGTCAAGGGGTCTGAATACTTTCCGAATGCACTATGTGCCAGTGTCTTTCTACTTTGGCCAACTCTTTTCTCATGGGCTTGTTTGGCAAGACCAGGAAGTGGGGTTGTTGAATGCAGAACCAGCCTGGCACCCTGAATGTTAGGAATGTGGGTAAGAGCATTGTGCCAGTAACCGAAAGGTCGCTGGTTCTAATCCCCGAGCCGACTAGGTGAAAAATCTGTTGATGTGCCCTTGAGCAAGGCACTTAACCCTAATTGCTTCTGTAAGTCGCTCTGGATAAGAGCGTCTGCTAAATGACTAAAATGTAAATGAATGGATCCTTTAGTACAGGGGTAGTGACATGGTTGGATTCAATTCCATTTCAATTCAGATTTGGTTCAATTCTTTGAATTGAAATAGTATTGTCCCCAACACTGGTACTCAAGTCACAGCCTGGACGTCTGCAGTACTGCTGGTTTTCTGTTCTTCCTGGTAGTAAAATGATTGATTGACTGATTCATGGATTCATGTCACTGAATGGCCAGAGATGCCACTCACCTGGGTTGTGTTCATTTGGGCACACCATGGAAAACATTTCAAAACGTTTTTCAACAGAAAACACAAACAACCGTTGGTGCCAAATGAAATCGACCCTAGTGTTTCATGTCTGAATCAGTCCCTGATTAGAGGGGAAGGATGAAAACCAGCAGAGTGGTGGACCTCCAGGTCCAGATTTGACAGAGGGAGGTAGGGTTGGGACCAATTCCAATTCCATTTCAAATACGGAATTGACTGAATTGAAATATAATTGATTCCAACCCTGGTTGAGGGTCTATAGAAGGACTGTGGGTCAGTAGAGTAGTTTACTGGGGTCGCGTTCAGCGAGAATTTTACATAACATTCAGATAGAAATAGACATCCTTCTCTCTCAAGAGGGAATCGTGTCAACTCAATATATTTATATTTGCAACATTTTGGAACATTGCAACATCCTGAACGCAACCCAGGATCCATTCCATTGGGGAGCATCTGATAAATTGAAATTGGGAGAATGGGGGAGCCAGGGTTTGGCTCAGTTCCATTTCGCTTCAGCCATTTCAGGGAATTGAATTGGAATTCAGCTCATGGATTGCTGGAAATGAGCCATTATTATTTCAATGGCAATTTTCCTGAGGCGACTGACTTGAAATGGAATTGAGCCCAAACCTTATTTACAATTAAAGCCTTGCAAGAGGCAAAAGGCCTCCCCAAAAATGGGGTATCTAAAAAAAAAAAAACATACAAAAAAAAACAATGTAATACAAAATGGACAACACAGACCGAAGACACGTCCAAGACCAAGGAACTGAGTAATGAAAGGACCTTTTTTTCCCACATGCTTGGTTCTAGTTTTTGGGACTTTTAGCATAAAACAAGATTGAGAGCTGAGTTTGTATGTGTTTTCATTCCGAGCCAGAAGAGAGGATAGATAAAATGGCAGTTTTCCTAAAATGGCTTTATAAATAAGAATGTACCAGTGTTTGAGCCTGCATGTTGCTAGTGATGTCCACCTGACAGCACTGTAGAAATTACAATGAGTTAGACGCCTCTGATTGGTGACAAAACAAAGGGCTGCATGATACACAGCGTCAAGAGCCTTCAGTGTAGAGCTTGAGTCTTGCACATAAATAGTATCACCATAATACAAGAAAACTATTTTCTGGTGGCATAGGAAAACAAGCTTAGTGCCGGTAATAATACCAAATACGCAGCTTGAGTTTTACTTCAGTGCCTTGTTGCAAACAGGATGCATATTTTTGAATATTTGTATTCTGTACAGGCTTCCTTATTTTCACTCCGTCAATTAGGTTAGTATTGTGGAGTAACTACAATGTTGTTGATCCATCCTCAGTTTTCTCCTATCACAGCCATTAAACTCAGTTTAAGCAAATTTTTACTCCTAAACTTATTTAGGCTTGCCATAACAAAGGGGTTGAATACTTATTGACTCAAGACATTTCAGCTTTTCAGTTTTTATTAATAAATAAAATAAAATAAAATAAACATAATTCCACTTGGAAAATATGGGGTATTGTGTGTAGGCCAGTGACCAAAAAATATCTATTTAATCAATTTTAAATTCAGGCTGTAACATAACAAAATGTGGAAAAAGTCAAGGCACTCGTTCACAAACCACTCCAGAGCATGACAAACCGTATGGTCCACACTGTCAAACGCCTTTGACAAGTCTATACAGATACACAGATTCTTATCCAGAGCACAGTGAATATCATTCAAAACCCTCAAAGTTGCTGTGACAGCGCAGTGGCTAGACCTGAAACCTGATTGCATCCCACTCAAAATATTGTTTTCCTGGAGGTAGGCCTTAAGCTGCTTATTGACCAGGGACTCCAATACCTCTGCCAGAACAGACTATTTAGATGTGGGCCGATAGTTATTCAGAAGAGTGTGATCACCTCCTTTCAAAAGAGGTTGGACAAATGCTGATTTCCACAACTTGGGGATTTCATTCTAGGGTGAGCTTAAAGATGCATGTTAACTCATCCTACTAAAACTTGAAAGCATTTTACAGGACAGTACTCATCCCCTTGACTCAAAATTCAGTCACAGCAGCAGCCGGACAAGGCGAAAGAGACTTCTTTAAAAGAAAATTAAAACTCATAGATATGGGGAATCTTTTATTCCGACAGCCATTAGGTTGTATAATAGATAGTCTGTTGGTTCCTCGAGTATACAGCATTTTGCACTTTCACTTTAAATGTGTAGCTATAGCACTTTGAATTAATTATTTTGTGTAGTTTCTGTGTTTATGTACTGTCTTTTTAAGCACATTACCAAATTAATTTCCCCCTGGTGGGATAATAAAGTTGATCTGAATCTAAAGGAGGCACAATGATGTCTGCAGCTAATTGTAGTAGGCGTGAGTCTAGATCATCAGAGCCAGGGGATTTTTTTTTTTTTACATCAATTGCTTTCAGGGCTCTACGCACCTCTGAGACAGAGAAGGGCGAGAAGGAGAACCTGGAGAAGGAGTGCTTGGGAGTGTCAGGTCATTTCACAGGTGTGCAAATGTTGACCTTTAAGCCTATCAAATAATATGCCTGCATCAAGAAAATTTTGATTAAAAGAGTTCAGAATAAAGGTTCTCAATTACCACCTGTGAGTCAACTAGCAGCTGTTTAGGGAGCTGTGCATCTCCTTTGCACTATAAACTTTTCAAAAATGTTGAAGGATTATTCAGATTATCAGCAGTTGATTTGAGATAGTGGTCTGCTTTCAGCTTTCGGGTCATAGCCACACCCTGATTCCGAAGGCGTTTAAAAGCCATCCAACCATCAGCTGAATCAGACCACCTTGCCTTAGCCCACAAAGCATTCCGTTTCCTTATGATTTTAGCTAGTTCATCTGAGAACCAAGGGTTGTCTCTGCCTTTAATTCTGTATTGTTTGAAAGGGAAATGCTTGTTGCATACATCCTGGAATGCTTTATGGAAGTAGGAAAAGGCTAATTCAACATCAGGGATGAATTAAACTCTATTCCAGGCAAAGTAAAAAACAATGTATAAAACCCTGAGTATCAAACTGCTTCCAGTTTATTTTCATGATGATACGTGGAGGCAGTTTAGGAATTTTACAATCCCTCACACAGGCAGCAGCACAGTGTTCACTTATATAATTTGAAGCAGAAGCATTAAAATGATGTGGACGTTAGTTAAATTAAGATCAATCAATGAGGATTTTAGAGGACACTGCATTCAACCTTGTTACATTGTTAACAACAATGGCGGTCAGTTCCGTTTAAGATGAGGGCGGACGATTATTTAAAAAAAAATGTGCATGGCCTTATTTCTATTACAGCATATTGTATGACTGTCATTCATATTCCATTCACCCAGCTCAATGTAACATTGATAGGTTTAGGATACTACGTGATACTCACATTTTCCCTATAACCATCATGAGGTTGTTACAACCTAGCCTATGAATACAATTTTACAACGTATAGTGCCTTGCAAAAGTATTCATCCCCCTTGGCGTTTTTCCAATTTTGTTGCATTACAACCTGTAATTGAAATGTATTTTTATTAGGAATTCATGTAATGGACATACACAAAATAGTCCAAATTGGTGAAGTGAAATGAAAAAAATAACTTGTTTCAAAAAATTCGAAAAAATAAATTACGGAACAGTGGTGCGTGCATATATTCAACCCCTTTGCTATGAAGCCCCTAAATAATAATAATAATTCCATCGGCAGGATCTGGGAAATTGGTCAGAATTGAAGGAATGATGGATGGCGCTTAATCCAGGGAAATTCTTCAGGGAAACCTGTTTCAGTCTTCTAGAGATTTGAGACTGGGACGGAGGTTCACCTTTCAGCAGGACAATGACCCTAAGCATACTGCTAAAGCAACACTCAAGTGGTTTAAGGGGAAACATTTAAATGTCTTGGAATGGCCTAGGCAAAGCCCAGACCTCAATCCAACTGAGAATCTGTGGTATGACTTAAAGATTGCTGTACACCAGCAGAACCCATCCAACTTGGAAGGAGCTGGAGCAATTTTGCCTTGAAGAATGGGCAAAAATCCCAGTGGCTAGATGTGCCAAGCTTATAGAGACATACCTCAGGAGACTTGCAGCTGTAATTGCTGAAAAAGGTGGCTCTACAAAGAATTGACTTTGGGGAGGTGAATAGTTATGCATTCTCAAGTTTTCTGTTATTTTGTCTAATTTCTTGTTCTTGTCTAATATTTTGCATCTTCAAAGTGGTAGGCATGTTGTGTAAATCAAATGATACAAACCCCATTTTAATTCCAGGTTGTAAGGCAACAAAATAGGAAAAATGCCAAGGGGGGTGAATGCTTTCGCAAGCCAGTGCATTCGGAAAGTATTCAGACCCCTTGACTTTGTCCACATTTTGTTACATTTCAGCCTTATTCTAAAATTTATTAAATTATTTTCTTTCCTCATCAATCTACATACAATACCCCATAATGACAAGGCAAAAACAGGTTTTTAGATTTTTTTGTAAATGTATTAACAATAAATAACAGAAATACCTTACTTACAATTGAAGTCGGAAGTTTACATACACCTTAGCCAAATACATTTAAACTCAGTTTTTCACAATTCCTGACATTTAATCCTTGTAAAAGTTCCCTGTCTTAAGTCAGTTAGGATCACCAGTTTATTTTAAGAACGTGAAATGTCAGAATAATAGTAGAGAGAATGATTTATTTCAGCTTTAATTTATTTTACCACATTCCCAGTGGGTCAGAAGTTTACATACACTCAATTAGTATTTGGTAGCATTGCCTTTAACTTGTTTAACTTGGGTCAAACGTTTTGGGTAGCCTTCCACAAACTTCCCACAATAAGTTGGTTGAATTTTGGCCCATTCCTCCTGACAGAACTGGTGTAACTGAGTCAGGTTTGTAGGCCTCCTTGCTCGCACACGTTTTTTTCAGTTCTGCCCACAAATTTTCTATAGGATTGAGGTCAGGGCTTTGTGATGGCCACTCCAATACCTTGACTTTGTTGTCCTTAAGCCATTTTGCCACAACTTTGGGTCATTGTCCATTTGGAAGACCCATTTGCGACCAAGCTTTAACTTCCTGACTGATGTCTTGAGATGTTGCTTCAATATATCCACATAATTGTCGATATAGGACTAATTTTACTGTGGATATAGATAATTTTGTACCTGTTTCCTCCAGCATCTTAACAAGGTCCTTTGCTGTTGTTCTGGGATTTATTTGCACTTTTCGCACCAAAGTACGTTCATCTCTAGGAGACAGAACGCGTCTCCTTCCTGAGTGGTATGACGGCTGCGTGGTCCCATGGTGTTTATACTTGCGTACTGTTGTTTGTACAGATGAACGTGGTACCTTCAGGCGTTTGGAAATTGCTCCCAAGGATGAACCAGACTTGTGGAGGTCTACCATTTTTTTCGGAGGTCTTGGCTGATTTCTTTAGATTTTCCCATGACGTCAAGCAAAGAGGCACTGAGTTTGAAGGTAGGCCTTGAAATACATCCACAGGAACACCTCCAATTGACTCAAATTATGTCAATTTGCCTATCAGAAGCTTCTAAAGCCATGACTTCATTTTCTGGAATTTTCCAAGCTGTTTAAAAGGCACAGTCAACTAAGTGTATGTAAACTTCTGACTTCAACTGTACATACCAATTCATATCCTTTGCTATGAGACTCAAAATTGAGCTCAGGTGCATCTTGTTTCCATTGATCATCCTTGAGATGTTTCTACAACTTGATTGGAGTCCACCTGTGGTACATTCAATTGATTGGACATGATTTGGAAAGGCACACACGTCTATATAAGGTCCCACAGTTGACAGTGCATGTAAGAGCAAAAACCAAACTATGAGGTCGAAGGAATTGTCTGTAAAGCTCAGAGACAGGATTGTGTCGAGGCACAGATCTGGGGAAGGCTACCAAAAAAATACCTCCAGCATTGAAGGTCCCCAAGAACAAAGTGGCCTCCATCATTCTTAAATGGAATAAGTTTGGAAACACCAAGACTCTTCCTAGAGCTGGCCGCCCGGCCAAACTGAGCAATCGGGGGAGAAGGGCCTTGGTCAGGGAGATGACCAAGAACCCGATGGTCACTCTGACAGAGCTCCACAGTTCCTCTGTGGAGATTGGAGAAACTTTCCAGAAGGACAACCATCTCTGCAGCACTCCACCAATCAGTCCAGAAACATGGTTAAGTACCAAAATAACAATCCAGACATGTAAATGGTAGCGTGCGGTTTCTCCCATGTCGAATTAGAAAAACGCACAGAGTTCTCCACTGCAATAGCGGGGCAAGCTAAATGCATCATCCTCAGTGTAAGAGTAAAGGGTAGACAATAGCAACATGTTCCTTTGTAGCCGATTAATCAATGTGAGAAATAACCATAAAAAGTTATCGGATCTAAAAAAATTAGGCCTATGAGGTTGCACACTAACCTCAAATAGGCCTAAGCTACAATAAAATAACAATAAAGGCCAAGTAATACAACTCTAAATGCATACAAGTTCCCAAGTAAAAGTCCACAAAAGTCCACAGGCTAAAGATACAATTTGGATCAGAGACCGCAGTGTGTGCATGCTGGAGCAGTGAGCGAAGCTCGGGGGAGAAGGGGGCAAGGGTACCTGTACCAGACAGGAGGGGAGGCCTGGGTAGTCAGGAGCAGACCGAAAGGTGGGTGCCAAGCAGTGCAGCACACCACGGGAGTAGCCTAGGTATCACACCCGCTTGGGAGAGGCTTGTGTCGGTAGGACAGGAGGCTTTCAACCAACCAGGTGCGTGGTGGAGGAGCATTCAGCAATGGAACCGGAGTGATTTATATGTTTGCTTTCTCCGATAAATGAAAAGATAGAGGATCTTTTATATAGCCAAGTTACTTGTTGACTATGTAGTGGGCAGTAATATTTTATATGTGAATATACAGTATATTAAATATAAATCACATGTGACTCGTAATAGTCCTTTGGCATTGTTCTTTGTTCCTGGACCATTTTCCATGCAACTCCAGGTGACAGAGAACACCTAAATTAGGTCCGAGCCTACAATTATATCAAAACATTACCAGAGTATTTGGAATGATTATAACAAAAACAAACTGAAGCACACGAGGCAAACGAGTTCAGCTGCTGTCTTGGTGGGAGTGGGCCCTCTATGGAGCTAGAGATGGATCGACTGTGGAAGGCAGGTGGGTAGCCAGGAGGGTACAAGGTGGTTGGATGAGTAAGAGTGTGTGTGTGCGTGTGTAAGTGTTCGCATCGGTGCACATGTTTAGACACGCTAAGCTACCCCTTGGTATCCAAATAAAGGGAAAGGGGGATACCTAGTCAGTTGCACAACTGAATGCATTCAACCGAAATGTGTCTTGCGCATTTAACCCAACCCCTCTGAATCAAGAGAGGTACGGGGGGATATAGCTAGCTAGTTGCACTATAAAAGCATGTTGCCTACGTAGGGTGAAGTGCTTAAGGGAGAAAGATACACACACGTGGGTGGACACACACAGGCCGGCCTTAAGCAGTGCTTAGCAGTAATAGACACTATTTAGGGAATAGGGTACCATTTGGGACACGGTTTTATTATTCCCCTGGGTGATGTGGTACTGTACAAAAAGGACTAGAATTAAGTTGCTCCTAGACACTGATCTAAGGTTAGTTTTAGATAAATACAAAAATTTACACAAATATACACACTCACGGACACACACACAAAGAATGCTCACACAGACGTGATGTGAGTGGTAGGACTGCCTTTTGCGGTTTAATTAATTATGTCTGTTTCTTCAGCACAGGGAGATGAGTGTGTGTACAGACAGGACTATGGAGGAGGGATAGGTGTGTGAGGATGTGTGTGTGAGGGTGTGAGGGTGTATGTGTGCGTGTGTGTGCGTCTAGAAGTGGGAAATCTACTTCAGCGGATGGAAGAGGTGTGTGTTTGCGCGCACGTATATCAGTGTGTGCACGTACGCCTGCGTGTGGGCGACCACATGAAGGTGCTGTGTTCAAACCTTGCATCCCATACATCTCCACACAGATAAAAACCAGGCAGGAGTGACGTAAAGAAGGAAAGAGTCCTTGCGAGGGGGTGGACGGCCAAGTAAAATAAGTAGTAAGCGTAAGACATATTTACATTTTGGGCATCCTCCCTCACCTCAAGTGTGCCGCGCTTGGATGGGTTGAGCACCAGGAAGCTCTTGAGGAGGTTTTCGCAGTCGGTGGACATGTAGAAAGGGATACGGTATTTACCCCTTAGAACACGCTCTCTCAGCTCCTATAGGGGGAGATAGAGAGGAGAGGTTAAAAGGTGGTGTCGGGGGTTAGAGGTCAGGGTCAGTTAGTGGACATGTAGAAAGGGATACAGTATTTCCCCCCCTAAAACACGCTCTCTCAGCTCCTATAGGGGGAGATAGAGAGGAGAGGTTAAAGGCAGGGTTGGAAGTTTAGAAGTCAGGGGTCAGTCGGTGGACATGTAGAAAGGGATACAGTATTTCCCCCCCTAAAACACGCTCTCTCAGCTCCTATAGGGGGAGATAGAGAGGAGAGGTTAAAGGCAGGGTTGGAAGTTTAGAAGTCAGGGGTCAGTCGGTGGACATGTAGAAAGGGATACAGTATTTCCCCCCTAAAACACGCTCTCTCAGCTCCTATAGGGGGAGATAGAGAGGAGAGGTTAAAGGCAGGGTTGGAAGTTTAGAAGTCAGGGGTCAGTCGGTGGACATGTAGAAAGGGATACAGTATTTCCCCCCCTAAAACACGCTCTCTCAGCTCCTATAGGGGGAGATAGAGAGGAGAGGTTAAAGGCAGGGTTGGAAGTTTAGAAGTCAGGGGTCAGTCGGTGGACATGTAGAAGGGGATACAGTATTTCCCCCTCAGACAACACTCTTTCAGATCCTACAGAGGATATATAGACCCTTTGTCCCAATTCTCAACCTGTCTCCCAAAGTGTGCAAACATGCACTCTTCCCCACGCAGTTGGCATGTTAGGCAAGTGTAAGCATGGACTAGATGGCGTTTCCACCATTCTTCCACCAGTCCTTTCCTTATAAAGCAAGTGCACATTTAGGTCAGATGGGTAGCAAACTGGGCCATAAGAGTGGAGGCCAGGGTTAAAGGTTAAACACACATACAAACACACCTTCAGGTTCTGACCGTCGAAGGGCAGTGACCCTGACACGAGCGTGTACAGTATGACCCCCAGGCTCCAGACGTCCACCTCAGGCCCGTCATACTTCTTCCCCTGGAACAGCTCCGGGGCGGCGTAGGGCGGGGAGCCGCAGAACGTGTCCAGCTTACTGCCCATGGTGAACTCGTTACTGAAGCCAAAGTCTGCAATCTTGATGTTCATGTCAGCGTCCAGGAGTAGGTTCTCAGCCTGGTGTGGGGGGGGGGGGGGGGGGGTGAGGAGGGGTGGAAGTGGGTAAGTGGGTGTTTATTTGTGTGGTATATATTTAGTGATGTGAAACACTGAACATTGTTGTTTCTAATTTTAAAAAAGGGGGATGTAGATGGGTCGGTTTTACACCGGAACTAGTGAACTTTAAGTGGGGTGTGCGGGGACATCATTCAGTGTGACACAAGATGTAGATCCCGTGTGGCTTAGCTGGTAGAGCATAGCGCTTGCAATGCCAGGGTTGTGGGTTCGATTCCCACGGGGGACAAGTACGAAAAATGTATCCACTCACTACTGTAAATCGCTCTGGATTATCGTGTCTGCTAAATGACTCAAATGTAAATGTATGAGATGCTAATAGCGAAGTAAACATTGGATATTTTCATGGGCAGTAACGTTGTCAGACTCTCTCAGTCACCCACACTTTACAGTCTTGAATGTTGCAGGTAGAAAAAGAATGTAAAACATAATATAATATATGTTTTACACGATACATTTATATCGGTACGCTCTGTAACATTACATCATTTTTACATTTTAGTCATTTAGCAGACGCTCTTATCCAGAGCGACTTACAGGAGTAATTAGGGTTAAGTGCCTTGCTCACGGGCACATCGACAGATTTTTCACCTAGTCGGCTCGGGGATTAGAACCAGCGACCTTTCGGTTACTGGCACAACGCTCTTACCCACTAAGCTACCTGCCGCCCCTACATCCTCCTGAACAGGACACAAGTCTCGTGACATGCCTATGGATCTCTTCAAATGAGCCATGTTGTTGTTATGAATGACAACAACAAGTTATATCAGGTAATAATGCACACAATAATAATAATAATAATAATAATAATAATAATAATAATAATAATAATAATAATAGGCACTTCTAATGCACTAATAAATAAGTGCGTTCACAGTATAATAAGAAATAAGAACTAGAAGGGAAACAGTTCAAATTCCTTTTACCCTTCAATACTGCAAGTAATGTAGTATTGCCTACTTTCACTCAGCATACAAAATGGCTGGGATTGTCTTCAGCTCTTCAAAAAGATATGGCCGAATGAATCTTACATGAAATAGAGAGGAGACGCCATTTTGGAAAGAAATTATTAAGCTATACCGTTCGGTAACACCAAAGGCACATGCAATGTGGAGGATACATCAAAATGTATATTTTTAATTAAATATAAATAGTTTCTAAATAGTTTTTTCTGGGATTCCATTGAAGTGCCTGGGTCAAACCCCTCTTGGTTCACTTACAGTTCAGAGATGGAGAGAGGGAAGGAGGGGGGACACAAAAAAGCACAGTTGTCAGTTTAAATTGGGGAGCTGGGGGAAAGAGAAAGATATTAAGAGAGGAGAGAGATACAGAAGGGAGAAATGGAAAGGGAGAGCGAGAGGGGTTGACAAGAGGGAGAGAAGGATGGTGAAAGAGAAACGGAGGAAGAAGAGAAAGGGAGCACAGGCATAGAATGAGAGCACATTGCCACCTACTTGCTCCCTGACATGGTATCCAACATCTGTCTTTCTTCTTGTTTCTACCACTCTCCATCTTCCTCTCCCTCTTCGTTTGTCTATCCAACTCTTTGTTCCTTCCTCCCACTTTCTCCCTCTCTCTGTTACTCTCCCTCTATCTTGTGCAAATGCATAATTTAGGACATGTCATCGTGGAAACAGAGCGTGTAATGCCCTGTAGAGACTACTACAGTATGTCACACACCTCTGGGGGATGGTAACACAACATCCCGTGTCGTAGCAGGTGAGAGGATGTAGGTGGGAGGTGGGAGGTGATAATGAACAGTGTTTCTCCCATGGCTCTGAAGGGGGGGGGGGGGGTGTGCGCGTGTCATGGTACGTGTATGTGTGCCAGGTTGCGTGTGTATGCGTGTGTGTACATAAAGCGTTCATTACCTTCAGGTCTCTGTGTACAATCTTTTTCTGATGGCAGTACTGCACAGCTGACACAATCTAGAAAGGAATGGACCAAAACCATAGAATTAGAAGTTAGAACACATTATTAGACAGTTTATACGTTTTTATAAAAGTTATTATAACTACAGCCCTTTCGATTTGGAGTTGTACTCCCGAGTGGCGCAGTGGTCTAAGGCACTGCATCGCAGTGCTAGCTGTGCCACTAGAGATCCTGGTTCGAATCCAGGCTCTGTCGTAGCCGGCCGCGACCAGGAGACCCATGGGGCGGCGCGCACAATTGGCCCAGCGTCGTCCAGGGTAGGGGAGGGAATGGCCGGTAGGGGATGTAGCTCAGTTGGTAGAGCATGGCGTTTGCAACGCCAGGGTTGTGGGGTCGATAAAAAAATAATGTATGCACTAACTGTAAGTCGCTCTGGATAAGAGCGTCTGCTAAATGACTAAAATGTAAATGTAAATGAGTTTGACACGTGACAGAGGAGCTTGAGGTTCATTTGGGACTGGTCAACACTGTCTGTCTGGTGTGTGAGTGTGTGAGAACAATTAGCGATGTCGACAGGCACCCACTTCTCAGAACTTCATTGATTGGACAGCAGGAAGTGCTTGTGGCTAGTACAGACTCACGCACGGTGTGCGTATGTTAGATATGGTGGTTTTCCCCATCCAGGTAAGCAGGGGCTGATTTGAACAGAACTAGCTAGTGACTGATTACTGTCAATAACATACTTTATAACTACAACAATATCTATCAATGTACCTATCCATTGGGGTAATCTATTTTTATTTTATTCATTTACCAGATTTTTTGTTTTGGTCATTTTTGCCTCTCCTTAATGAATTAATTAATTAATTAATTAATAGGCCTACTGTTCATGCCAATAACCTCCCCTTTCGTTATGCAAATATCCAAAGTCCTTCACCCACTATCTAGTATCTTTAGAGATCCATAACACTGTATTATACGTATAAATGCATGTACTGGTATAATACATATAATCATACAAAAATGATACACAGCGTCTATGAATTTAAGACATGTACTGGTTCCTCTCCCCTGCTATCCTCCTCTTTTATCCCATCCATATTTTCTCCTATCTTCCTTTCTCTTTCTCCCTCTCCCCCCCCCCCCCCCGCCCAATTCTCCTAGCTCCCTGTCCACAGCTCTTACATCAAGTGACCCAGATATCAGGGGAGCCCCTGTATGGACTTACGGTAGACCCCCTTTCACTGAGTAGCGGGGGGGTTTGATCGGCTGAAAATTAAGGATGGCAAGGATGTTGGGGGGGGGGGGGGCTTGAAAGTGTGTCTGTGTGACACCCAGCCAGTGTGTCTTTGAACATGGGGTGTGTATGTTAGTATATGTACGTGCGTGCGTATGTGTAGGGCTGAATCCAGTCTGCTGCAGTACCTGTCTAAATTTAGCCCTGGCTTCCTTCTCCTTCATCCTCCCGTGAGCTACGAGGTAGTCAAAGACCTCCCCTGAAAGGAAGGCGGAGCGAGAGAGAGAGAGAGAGAAAGAGTGGGGAGAGAGAGAGATCGAGTGAAGGGATAGAGAGAGACAGGGAGAGAGCAAGACCGAGAGAGAGAGAGGTTTAAGTTCAACTTTGACTGAATAGATACATTCCAAAACTTCCTCTCAGTCCCCGAAATTCTTTTTAATGTCTGGAACCCACCAACAAAGCATCAATTGCTAGTTAGGCTGCCTCATTTGTCCTAGATAAGGCAATACTATGTCTTATAATAAAGTACTATGAATATCAGGAGTCAGACCAACCCTCCTCCTGGAGAGCTACTGGTTGTGCAGGCTTTTGATCCAGCCCTGCCCTCAAACACAGCTGATTCCACTAATAAGCAACTCATCAGGACCTTGATTGCCTGAAGCAGGTGAGTTAGCACAGGGCTGGGGCAAAAGCCTGCACGCCCAGTAGCTCTCCAAGAGAAGGGTGTCATACTTTAATAATCATAACCATAATACATGTATTTTATATTTATAAATGAGATTTTCATGGATTATGCTCAAAGCATATTATAAATATGATAATGTACTATACTGTATGTCATATTACTAAGTAACTTACCTCCACTGGCATATTCCATCACCAGGTAGAGAGTTTTCTCAGTCTCTATCACCTCAAACAGTTTCACTGTGGCGAGAGAGAGAGAGAGAGAGAGAGAGAGTTAGATGGGAAATCACCAGCTAGCAGGCTAAATCACTTCCCATCTAATTGAATTGGAGCAGAGATGAGCACGACTCTCTTTCTCGCTTTCTAAATCACTATCTATTTCACTGTGTCTGTGGGTGCACTCCAGAATACACTAATTTTGCAGGATAAGGATAACTAGAACATATTGATGTCTGGTACATTAAAAACTTATGCGGACGTTGAATTGCACATATTTTGTGTACATGGAATGCACCCTGCTTGTCCGTTGGTCTGTCTGTCTGTTAGGGCTGCACAATTAATAAAATTCACATCGAAATTGCAATATTGACATGTGCAATATCCATATCGCAAGAAATGTATATGGCATGCAATATTTTGAAGAACGATGTTGCTTTCCACTTTGGTTCTTAATATAAATCATTCTATGTCTATGATTCCAACAGTTCACCCAAGTGTTTTGGTTTATATCAAGTCAAATAGCAATATTTGGTACAAAAATAAATAATCGCAATTCGATTTTTTGCCCACATCGTACAGCCCTACTGTCTGTCTGTCTGTCATTCAGCCTCTTTCTCAACTGATCACTAAGCCAATGATTGGGAAAATCAGGAGTATTAGAGCTGAGATGGAACAAAACTGTGCGCTCCCTGGGTGTCCCCACCAAGAATGGAAACCCTGCTATTAATGTAAGAAGACTGAAAATATGGCCCAAAATTCACCTTGTTACTCTTACCAACATTTTGCATAATCTGAACATGTATGTATCTGCGTGCTTAAAATGTTGCTTTGGGCTACCTTGCATCCCGCCTAAGAAATTGTCTATGAGAGAAAGCCTCCAGATTTTTCTAGCATATGTCGGTGCCAGGCTCAATGGCAACATACTGTTCTGAAATGAGACCATAGCCAACTAATCCCACAGTCACTGTCTGTATCAGTTAGTCTCGTATCTCTCCCTCTGTCTTGCCATCTACTTCAGTCTGTTTCTATTACTTCTTCTTTGTCTGTATCACTCAGTCTCTCTCCCTCTTAAATGGGTGTATACCTCTGTCTTTCCTTCAGTCTGTCTCCCTCTGTCGCTCGCTCTCCTTCATTGTCTATCACTCCGTCTCTCTCCCAATGTCTGTATCCCTCTGTCTCTCTTCCCCACCTAAGGTGAGCATGTGCGCGGCCGGACACCTCCTCCAGGACTGCAGCGCAGAAAAAAATGTCAGGCAAGAGATTGAACTTCACTGAGTTCGCGCCATTAGTTTGCATTATATAGATCAACGTTTTTTTCTGTGATTGAATCAACATGTCAGCCCCTTTCAATGCAACAAAACAAACCAATATCTAACTTTGCAAGATTGAGTCTGTGATTTTGTTGTAGGCAGAGCCAGAGCGCAACGGAGTAGAATTCTATTGGCAGGGGTAGCGCAAGTGAAAGCGCTTTTCAGATCAGTTCAGTTCAGAGCGCGGAGTCGCGTGTGTGCACATTTGTTGATATTCTTTGCTAATTAGAGAGTTATTAGCCCAGTTATAGATAAGTATAGGTCAGCAATTGGGAGTTACTGCTTCCTACAAGAGCACAAAACGTGTAGGCTACATTTCAAGCCGTCTTTGAAAAGCCAGTCAGGTAAAATATGCAAATAAGCCAATAGGCAGAGGGGTAGCTTACATTGTCTAATTCTCTGTATGGTAATAACAATTCATTTTATTTTGTAAAGTGGTTTCTTTCATCATACAACACAGTACAATGCAATTTACAGGTCCTATTTGGCCCATGGTGTTACCAACCAAGTAAAAAAATCATTAAAATGTCAAGCCCTTCATAATGTAAAAAGCATTTTTAAAAGTCTCATGCAATGTTGGCCTGCACTGAACCCCACATATAGGCTACTGTAGGCTATATTATAGAAATCAAAAAGCTATTTCCATGTGAAAATGTTATGGGATTTGTTCCATTGGTTTTGTTGGTAGGCCTACATTATACTCAAATTGCCACAATAGCCTAAAACTGTCAAAAACTGTAAGGGTACAGCCTCAGTGTTCACAAGAACTAAAATTTGCTCAGTGCCCCAAATAATTTGAGGGAACATTGCCCACCTCGTCTCTCACTTTTCTTGACCATTGTCATATTTTAACTCAATAAGCTTTATTGGTATTGCAATTTGAAATTCACTGAGGGCATATCTTCCCATCCATCCCGTTCTCTTGATTAACTAACATCCTTTCTTTCGGCATATCACCCTCCTTCCCTCCCTGACCTACCTGGCTTGGGGAGGGAGACAGTGGATCAGTGGAAGAGAGGAAGTTGAGCGTGAGAAGCACCAACAAAATGGCTTACCCCAGGCTTAACCAAACGATCGCCAAAATGTTTTACATTTTTAGTCATTTAGCAGACGCTCTTATCCAGAGCGACTAACAGTTAGTGAGTGCATACATTTTTCATACCAACCATGCGCCGGCGGATTCAGACCACCAAAAGGGAGCCTGCTGGACAAGGCAAGGCGGGGTGATCACAAATCGGCTTTGTAGAGGACATTTCCCATTTTGTATATGAAACGTAAGACCAAAACATTCAAATAGAGGCTAACATCCAGGTTTTTCAACTCCTGTGCTGGAGAGCCACAGCGCGTGCAGGTTTTTGTTCGAGCCCAGAATTTATTACACACTTGATTCAAATAAATAATCAACGCATCCTGGTCTTCAATCTGGACCATTAGTTGATTCTGGTCTGTTAGTGCCGGGCTAGAGCATAAGCCTGCATACATACACTGCAACTCAGCTCTCCAGGAGGGAGTAGCCCTCCTATTGATATGAACAGAGAAAGGAAATATGTCATTGCCATGACGACTGGTACCACATCCCATGGCCTCTAACTTTTTGGGCTCTTTCCAGGTTTTCCTGAGAGGGCTGGTGTGTATGAGTGTGGACACACAGCAACACGGACACACACACACAATCAGGCTAAAGATAGCCACAGGAGGAAGTGGAGTGCCATTCTCCAGTTCATTAGAATGAATGAGTGGGATTGGGAGGTAAAAAAAAGTATGAGGACACCTGCTCGTTGAACAACTCATTCCAAAAACATAGGCATTACTATGGAGTTGGTCCCGCCTTTCCTGCTATAACAGTCTCCACTCTTCTGGGAAGGCTTTCCACTAGATGTTGGAACATTCCTGCAGGGACTTTCTTCCATTCAGCCACAAGAGCATTAGTGAGGTCGGGCACTGACACAGTCGTCGTTCCAATTCATCCCAAAGGTGTTCGATGGGGTTGAGGTCAGGGCTCTGTGCAGGCCAGTCAAGTTCTTCCACAACGATCTCGACAAACCATTTCTGTATGGACCTCGCTTTGTGCACAGGGGCATTGTCATATGTTCTTGTGTTGTTTTTTACGCATTGCTAAGTGTAAAAAAAAAAAAAAAAAGTGTATGTTTTGCTGTACGGTAAACTAAGTAGGTAGCTAGTTAAGTTTAGCTATAAATTAAATCCGACTGAGTTGAAATCAACTTGTCCCAAACACGTATGGGCACACATTGTTATGAGGATTTACAGAAGTGAGTCAGTATGTCAGTGATACACTTACCAATGTTTGGATGGTTTAGAATCTTCATTATTCGGACTTCTCTGAAGAGCTGAAGACAGAGTGAGAAAAGAAAGACGTTTAGAAGAAGTGAGACATTTTCTTTCCTCCAGACATTTAGAAGAACAGGTACATCACTGGTGACATTCTCTGGTTGTGAGGGGGATAGTATAGGCCAATATTGGACAATAAAACTAAAGTATGTACTATAATACAGGCTTCCACACATACTCTCACAACACACACAATCACATTCCTTTTTTCATTGTTATTGGTAACTTCCAGTCCCCCCCCTCATACCGCCCCTAAAACAATCTCACTTCCCACAAGTTACTTCCACATGAAAGCCCAGAACAACACAGACAGACAGAGAGAGAGAGCCTCCCAACTTTCCCAGACTATGACTTCCTGGTGAGTTTGGTAAACACTTCCTCTGCCTTTCTTTCCCTCTCCCTCTTTTCCTTTCCCTCCCTCCCTCGCTCTTTCTGTCATGAATGAAGGAGCAAGACAGTCTCTCGTTCCTGTAGCCGCCCACTGTGATGCTATTGGAGTATGGGGGTCTCAGGTGACCTTCTGACCCCGATCTCTCGTCATTGCCCTCGGATGTAGATGATCTGATTGGCCGGCTGTCAGCCGTGGTTTATGTCGCCCACACAAGACGGTAAGGGCTACCCTTGGAATTCCCCTCCCTCCATCTATTCGCCTCTCTCCCTAAGAGAATACATTCAATGTAGCCAAAAAGTATTGGGTCGGTCCCCTAGGAAACACATAACTCCTTCCTGGCATTTTCATTAGTTGTCATGTCAAACAACACTGTATTCAAAGTGCCCACTATTATATTATAACTATAGAAATAGAATAATCATTATATTTCCATAATGCCAACAGTTCACCAAAGTGTTTTGGTCTAAATCACAAGTCTAACTGCAACATGTGGTTAAATATAAGGCCTATAACTGTGGAAATTATCTCAAATGAGTGCAGGAAATGCAGAAATTGACGAAAGTGCTGAAAATGATTTTGGATTTAATTGAACAGTATATAACAATCAAAATGGAGAAAGACCCATTGAAATCACTTAGAATGTATGTGGAATATGTTCCTGGATTCTTCTGATGGCATTGAGGAGTACACCACATCAGTCACTGGCTTCATCAATAAGTGCATCGATGACGTCATCCCCACAGTGACCGTACGTACATACCCCAACCAGAAGCCATGGAATACAGGCAACATCCGCACTGAGCTAAACGGTAGAGCTGCCACTTTTAAGGAGCGGGACTCTAACCCGGACGCTTATAAGAAATCCCGCTATGCCCTCCGACGAACCATCAAACAGCCAATACAGGACTAAGATTGAATTACACTACACCGGCTCCGACGCTCCTCGTATATGGCAGGGCTTTCAAACTATTACAGACTACAAAGGGAAGCACAGCCGTGAGCTGCCTAGTGACAGGAGCCTACCAGACGAGCTAAATCACTTCTATGCTCGCTTCGAGGCAAGCAACACTGAAGCATGCATGAGAGCATCAGCTGTTCCGGACGACTGTGTGATCACGCTCTCCGTAGCCGATGTGAGTAAGACCTTTAAACAGGTCAACATTCACAAGGCCGCAGGGCCAGCCAGATTACCAGGACGTGTACTCAGAGCGTGCGCTGACCAACTGGCAAGTGTCTTCACTGACATTTTCAACCTGTCCCTGACTGAGTCTGTAATACCAACAAGTTTCAAGCAGACCACCATAGTCCCTGTGCCCAAGAACACTAAGGTGACTACAGACCCGTAGCACTCACATCTGTAGCCATGAAGTGCTTTGAAAGGCTGGTCATGGCTCACATCAACACCATTATCCCAGAAACCCTAGACCCACTCCAATTTGCATACACCCCAACAGATCCACAGATGCAATCTCTATTGCACTCCACACTGCCCTTTACCACCTGGACAAAAGGAACACCTACGTGAGAATGCTATTCATTGACTACAGCTCAGCGTTCAACACCATAGTGCCCTCAAAGCTCATCACCAAGCCAAGGACCCTGGGACTAAACACCTCCCTCTGCAACTGGATCCTGGACTTCCTGACGGGCTGCCCCCAGGTGGTAAGGGTAGGTAACAACACATCTTCCACGCTGATCCTCAACATGGGGGCCCCTCAGGGGTGCGTGCTCAGTCCCCTCCTGTACTCCCTGTTCACCCATGACTGCATGGCCAGGCATGACTCCAACACCATCATTAAGTTTGCCGACGACACCAGTGGTAGGCCTGATCACCGACAACGATGAGACATCCTACAAAGAGGAGGTCAGAGACCTGGCCGTGTGGTGCTAGGATAACAACTTCTCCCTCAACGTGATCAAGACAAAAGGCGATGATTGTGGACTACAGGAAAAGAAGGACTGAGCACGCCCCCATTCTTATCGACGGGGCTAGAGTGGAGCAGGTTGAGAGCTTGAAGTTCCTTGGTGTCCACATCAACAACAAACTATCATGGTCCAAACACACCAAGACAGTCGTGAAGAGGGCACGACAAAGCCTATTCCCCCTCAGGAGACTGAAAAGATTTGGCATGGGTCCTCAGACCCTCAAAAAGTTCTACAGCTGCACCATCGAGAGCATCCTGACTGGTTTCATCACCGCCTGGTATGGCAACTGATTTGATCTTACTGAAGCATGTGTGCACACCATTGTGCGCACAAACACACAGCTTCGCTTCACTGACATACACACACACACACACACACACACACACACAGAACAGGTTCACACATGCCACTTTCTTAGCTTTTCTTCTAGCTTCATCTTGCTAGTGATCATTCTCTGTCCATACCCGCAACTTATGTGAAAACATAAGAATGTGGCCCCTCAATCATTGAAACCCACCCTAGCAAATGAGAGATGGTGGGGTATGTAATCTTTTTAAACATTATTTGGCAGAACTTTATTCCACAGGACACCATTTAACCACAATTGACTTCCTGGTAATGTAAGACATCATATTTGGTTTTGAAACATTAATAAGAATACATAGATTTCTATGGAGTTTGGAGATCTCCCTGCCTAGACTAAATCTCCTGGGTCATGATCATTAGGCACCAAATGGTGTAAAACATACTAAAATAGGTTATCCACCCACTTTGCCCAGAGTGGGTAAAAACGCGCTTTGGTGATGAAATTTCAATTCCGTATGTTATAAAATACATTTTATCAGGATAAATATGATTATTCATGTTCTGAATAGTTCAGTGGGGTCTTTAACATATCATTAACATTATAACCAAAAAGTCAGATTTCATAACATAATACATTCGATAATAAGCACAGAACTTTGTTGACATAGCTGTGCAGGTTTCTCGTAATAACTTGAGTATTTTACATTTTGTGGTCTTCGTCTTCAATGTTTCCGCGGGTCGCAGAAATCAAAATGAGCATGACACGAGCGGAATTAAATGTAAAAGGCTTTGAAAATAAAAAGTGTGTTATCCACTCAGTGCTCCGTTGATATTTCACAGACATTTTCGAAAAAGAACAGACATTTCGAATGAATATGAAAAGTGTATACTTAAATATGAAAATACTACATGTTGTCTCAAAATCGATATCAATCTTACCTCTATATTGTTATATTTTCTGTGGATTTCAAGAAGAAAGATAAGTTCAATGGGAAAGTGAGCCTGTCAGGTAGCCAGTAAACACAATTCTTGCACAGAATCCAGCCTAGCTGACCCAATTTTCCAGATTTTTGACCACTTTTTTTATCATTGATTTATTCACCCTAATTCTGCCCATCCTACAACGGTAAAAACTCCAATAACTTTTGAACTGATTATGATAGAGACTTGAGATTTGGACCATTGGTTTTCTCATAGGAGTATCTACACAATTAAATTATTATTATTATTTTACCCATTGGTCAAAATATGTGTTTCTGATTGGACACCATAGACTGAAAAAGGGAGGTCCTACATGGACTTGTCCAATAAGAAACACTCATCTTGATTTTCCGTTGCAAAGAGTTTTATTATTTTTTTACCCATTTTTCCAACCACGGTAAAGGAGGTGCAGCGCTTCATTGGCTTTGCCAATTACTATCGGAGGTTTATCCGGTGCTTTGGCAAGGTCGCAGCTCCAATCACCTCTCTGTTGAAGGGTGGGCCGTCCCGGCTCTGCTGGTCTGCCGAGGCTGACAGGGCTTTCAGTAACCTGAGGGCTCTGTTCACCTCAGCCCCGGAACTGGCCCATCCCGATCCATCATTGATGTTGTGAGCCATGACTTTCAAAGCATTTCATGGCAACAGATGTGAGTGTTACAGGGTGATAGTCATTTAGACAGGTTACCTTGGCATTCTTGGGCACAGGGACTATGGTGGTCTGCTTGAAAAATGTAGGTATTACAGACTGGGTCAGGGAGAGGTTGAACAGCTGCTTAGCGCATGAGTATGCATCCTGAGTACACGACCTGGTAATCAGTCTGTGAATGTTAACCAGTTTATTGGTCTTACTCACATCGGCTACGGAGAGCGTGATCACACAGTCATCCGGAACAGCTGGTACTCTCATGCGTGGTTCAGTGTCGCGTGCCTCGAAGTGAGCATAAGGCATTTAGCTCATCTGGTAGGCTCGCATCACTGTGCAGCTCGCTGCTGGGTTTCCCTTTGTAATCCGTGATAGTTTTCAAGCCCTGCCACATCAGATGAACGTCAGAGCCGGTGTAGTAGGATTTCTTTAGCTCAGTGCGGATGTTGCCTGTAAGCCATAGTTTCTGGTTGGGATATGTACGTATGATCACTATGGGGATGACGCAGTCAGTGCACTTCTTAATGAAGCCGGTGACTGATGTGGTAAACTCCAATGCTATCGGATGAATCCCGGAACATATTCCAGTCTTTTCTAGCGAAACAGTCCTGTAGCTTAGCATCCGCTTCATCGGACCACTTCCTGTTTGAGTTGTTGCTTGTAAGCAGGAATCAGGAGGATACAGTTATGGTTTGATTTGGCAAATGGAGGTCGAAGGAGAGCTTTGCATG